GTGCGCACACACAGCCCTGTTCACGCCCGTCCACCACCCTGTGCACTCCCACGCCCTGTGCACACCCACGGCCCTGTCCATACTCCATCCACCGCCCCCCGTGCACACCCACAGCCCTGTCAACGCCCTGTTCACCACCCTCACTCCCACCTGCAGCCTTGCCTAAGTCCATCTTCCTGAGGCCCTGGGTGCCGAGGGAGGTCCGGAAGGGAGAGATGACCTGGTTTTTCGATTTGCAGAACCAAACACATACCCGGGTCCCCAAGACACAAAGGCTTAAAGAAGACCCACTTCATCAAGAACATGCGGCAGTACGACACTAAGAGCAGCAGGTAGCCGGCGGCATCCGGCCCCGGGCGCTCACAGGGTGGATAGCCCACAGCATCAGGACAGGGCGTGTAGCCCGTGGGATCTGGCCGGGCGCTCATGGGGCGGGTAGCCCATGGCATCTGGGCATCCGGATGAGGCACTCACGGGGCGTGGGTGCTGTGGTAGGACCAACAGCCTCGTCACTCCCAGCCCTCCCTCATGTCCCGAGGCGCCTGCCCTCCGGCCCGTCTCCACATCCTTTTAGGACCAACTTCTCCCGACACAGCCTCTGTCTCCTCCCTGGTTAGCAGGGTGCTGGCAAATCCTCCCGCACTCCTGAGGCAGCCCAGTGGACTCCAGTGTTGGCCGAGTGACCTCTGACATGAGACAGGCTGAGCGATGACCTGTGCCCGGGACAGGGGAGCATGATTGTCCTTCTAAGTCAGAGAGCAGCTGGCAGTCAGGGTGCAGTGTGGGCCTGGCTGTCCCCGAGCATGGCCGGCAGTGTCTGCACAGTGTGAGGGGCCTCGGGGGTGCCTGCTCCTGTCACCCACCCCCACCCGAGGCCCCCCACGGGTGGTCCCCCAGTGCCTGTGCGGCATGATGACACAACCTGCCGTGGTGTGAGCCAGGTCCTGGTGCCCTTCTGTTGCCAGAGAAAAGGGCAGAGGGAGCCGCCTTGGCCCCTGGTGTTGGTCTTCAGGCTGTGGCCGGTGGACAGGCCAGAGACAGGCCCAGGGAGTGAGCTGCGGTTCCAGCTCCAGGGCTGCGGGCTGGCAGCTAGAGCTCAACGAGTGGGCCTCCCAGGTCACTTGGCGTTGGACGATGGGGGGCAAGTTCGTACCCTGCAACTGCCCTGGTCTCCAGTGCTCTGCCTCCACCTGCCCACCCACCCAGACCTGGGTCCCAAGCCATAAGACCCCCACCCTGGCTGCCACATGGGCCAAGGGGATGGCTTCCTGGGTATCTGGGCTACACACGGCAGACCACACGGACTGAGACACGCTCGCTGCCGGGATGCGTGATCCAGCACCTCTAGGGCGTCTGGCCCCAGGGCTGTGGGCATGGGGACCAGCCTGCCCGGCCCAGGGCCAGACCTACACACTGCTCTCTGACCCAGGGGCCCTCAGGCCCCAGGCCCCTGTTACTGTGAAAAGCGAGAGATGGGTCTGCGGTTGTGGTGGGAGGATGTTCCATGGAAGCACCCCCAGGCCCACCGTGCTGCACCGGGTCCTGACACACACTCCCCTGCAGGATTGTGCTGATCTGTGCCAAGCGGTCCCTGTGTGCAGCCTTTTCAGTCCTGCCCTACGGAGAAGGCCTGCGAGTCAGGTGAGCCTATGCACATACACACACACACATGCGCACACACACACGTATGTACACCCTGCCGGCCTCGGCAGAGTCCAGAGCAGCTGTCCCCTGAGCCTGGCACGGAGCCCCCGTGAGGACGGCGCTGAGAGCAGGCTGGTGCTTCGGCCGGGCCGTCTTCCCAGGCTCCTGGCCTCCCTCAGGCCTGCAGCTGAGGGCATCCGAGGACAGCTCCACCCTGGCCCCTCAGGGACCAAGCGGGCACTGGGGACTCACTCTCAGGGAGGCCAGGTCTGCACAGATGTGTGTGGGTGGCCATGGGGTCTCCTCCCCTGCTGTGGAATCAGCCCTGTCGATTGTGCCCGGCACACAGTTTACAGGGGAAGCAACCACTGTGTGTAACCTGGGGTGACGGCAATCGATGGTTGCCTGTACCCACCCCTCCCTGTGGGAGAACGGTCGGTTCCCGGGGCTCACACGTGGACAGCCAAGCCGCATGCCCGTGCATCAGGGGCTGCCCAATCCTCACGGGCAGACGTGGCAGGCATCCCAACAGGAGGGTCTACTCCCAGCTACAGTGACTGTGAGAAGCGAGACCCACGGGCAGCTCTCAGAGTTGAGGCCTCCTGTGTCTGTGTCCTAAGTGAAGAGCGGGGACGGCCTTGTTGGGATTCTCTGCATGACCCACGGGTTTGGCAGCTCCATGGGTGGGGTGGGTGAGCCACGGTGCTGAGACTCCGCTCTGTATGTGAACCCGGGGCCCCACTCCCCTGTCCCCTGCAGTGACCTGAGAGTGGACAGTCAGAAGCAGCGGCACCCGTCCGGCGGCGTCTCCGTGGCTTCTGAGATGGTCTTTGAGTTAGAAGGCGTTGAGCTGGGTGCAGACGGAAAGGCAAGAGTCCCCCCGGGTGGTGCTTCCGGGGCACTTGCCACATTGAGAGGTGTATTTTCCACTTTAATCTTGTGAAGCACAAGGGAGGTGGGGGGAGCCGTCAGCTGAGGGGCCGTGGTTCTCCCCAGCAGCTCCCCGCCGTGGGATGAGATGCCATTGTCCCCCTTAGGAGCTCACGTGGCCACCCCCAGCATGAGTCTCCTGCACCCGGTGGCCACAGTCATGGGCCCCCAGTGATGGGTGACTGGGGTGGCAGTCTGGAATGTTCTCAGACATGGGTATGCTAATGTCAGGGTGCGTCCAGACCAGGACTGCAGGCTGCCCTGGAGAACTGCGGGGACTCCTGTCCTGGTGTGAGGTATCGTGTGTCTAACCAAAGCCTGTGCTCTCCTCCAATCCTGGGACTGAGCCCAGTGTACTTCCCTCCAGGTCGTGTCTTACGCCAAGTTCCTATACCCCACCAATGCTCTGGTCACACCCAAGAGTGATGGCCATGGCCCGGTGGCCCAGCCTCGGTCCAGCATCCCCCGGGCTCTGCCAGGGTCGAGATACAAGCCCGGCCCGACCAAGTCAACTCCAGCGGGCACAGAGCTAGGTAACGGCGGGTCTCTGGCCGATCTTACTGAGTGGGGGCCGAGAGTGGTGGCAGTGGCCCAGACTGCTTGGCTACTGGGCAAGGAGTGCTGGTCAGCCTCCCGTGTCCCCAGACCAGGCGAGTGCTTGTGTCTGGGGACAGGGTCAGGGATCACAGCTAGGGGAGAAGTGACTCTTGGTGGGGCAGCCAGTCCCATGCTGCCCCCAAGCCCGGTGGTGGGTGAGCCACGCCTGAGGATCTCTCTAGAAGGGTCGCCCTGTGCCCACCGTCAGGCCCTCCCAGACAGTGGGCACCCTCATCCCCTTGCTGTCCTGGGGGGTTTACGAGC